CGGGCTGTGGTTGGAGCCACCGGGCGGGAGGCGGGCATGGTCCACCAGCGGCATGGCTGCGAGCACGCTGGCCGGCTCCACGGCACTGTGACCGCGCTGAAGCGGCCCTCGGCAAGGCCCCTGAGGCCGCCGGAGAGCCTAAAAGTGTGAGCGGGTGCGCATATAACGGGCAGGACAGTGCTCCCGAGCCGGCTAGGGCGTTGGAGCACCTATGAAATGGGGAGGATCCCGCATTTTCCCTGACCTTTACTCGAACCCGCCGCCACCCGTACCTCGCTCCAAACCACGCCGGAGCAGCTCTGGTCGTGCTCGGGACGGGGAGAGGAAAGTTCGGGGCACAAGAGTGTCGAGTAAAGGTCAGGGAAAATGCGGGATCGGCCCCATTACCCGTGGCCCGGGATCCGGCGGCGAAAGTTTGGTCCCGTTCGGCCACACGGACGTTAGCGGCTGTGGTTTCGGCCTGCACCCTCTCACGGACGGCTCCGAGAGGGGCGCGAGAGGCTGGAGACAGGTCCACCTTGGCGCTCGCGTCGACCTGCGAGGCCGGATCCGAGGCCGCCAGGCCGTTGGTAGCACCAGATGGAACGCCCGCGCAGCCGATTTTTATACGCGAAAAGTACCCGACGGACTCACGAGGGCACACACTCGGCGGTCTCGAGACAGAGTGTCTTTGGGGTGGCGTGGCGCACGCCGAGCAGTGAGAATCGAGATGTCTAGGATGTCTTCCCTTCTTCTCTCCCTCCTCCTCCTCCTCGACCCGGCCGCGGCGGTGCGGGGCGAGCCCGGGCTCCTCCTCGCGAAGCACGCCCCCGCCTCGGTCGTGGCCGCCCCCGGCCTGAGCGGCAGCGGCGGCGGCGGCGGCGTCGGCGGCGAGCAGAAGGCCGTGGGGGCGGCGCTCTTGGCCACGCCCCGCGCCCGGCGCTCGCTCGCGAGCATCGGAACGTACGGCACGATCTTTGGGCGCAAGATCGGGCAGACGATGCAGATCTTTGCGTACTCGAGCGACACGGCAACGATCGGTACGTCCGGCGTGCTCATCGACGCGGACACCGCCCTCTCCTGGCAAACCGTCGAGCTCGCCTTTGCCAACGGCGTGATCGAGAGCGTCGCCGCCGAGAACGGCCTCACTGCGACTATCAAAACGAACAACAAGGAAGTCGGCGTCGGCGACATGGCTGGCTCGGGCGACACCCACCCCGCCGGCCTCGTCATGACTGTCACCTTCACCTCCGGCACGGACATGGACAGCGTGTACATCGACTTCTCGTCGAGCACAACCGTGATCTGCATCTTGACCTGCGTCCCGTTTACCTCGACGCCCCGTGTGGCGACCGTCGTGCAGGACAAGAGCAACAACCTCTACCTGTTTGCCTCGCCCAACACGCCCACAGACGGCAAGGCTTCGACCATCGAGATTGCGGTCACGGGCGCCGTTGACGAGAGCGACATCACCCCCCTTCTCACTGACATGACGCTGCAGGTTGGCAGCGGCTTCTTCGGGCTGACCATCCTCGACGGCACGTCGAATCTCCCCGACGGCGAGGCGATCGCCGTCACGTCTCGGCCCCTCCTCGACATCGACGTGGACTCTGTGACGACCGCGGTCGTCGCCTCTCCCGCCGCCCCGGGATTCGACGCGCTCATCTTTGTCATCGGGGCGGCCTTCGACCCGTGCGTCTTGTGCAACGCAATCATGACAAAGACTGGCAAAAGGCCCCGTTTGTACGGAAACCCGTGCCTGCCTGGCGACCCGACGAAAACCTACAAGGACGGCCCCAAATCCACCGCCGACCTCGTCCAGTTGACTACCGAGTGCTACACGAACATCGCGGACGAGAGTCCGGTGCGCCGCTGCGTCTATGACTACAAGGAGGGGTCAGGATACGATTACGAAGGAAAATATAACGGGGAGCCCCTTAACCGAATTGAGACGTGCATGATGCTCCCGTCGCCGTCCCCGCCTGCGCTTCCGCCGGCCTCGTACCCGCCGCCGCCGCCGTCCGGCTCGCCCGCGCCGCCGCCCTCCGGCTCGACGTCGCCGCCTCCCTCCGGCTCGCCGTCGCCGCCTCCCTCCGGCTCGCCGTCGCCGCCGCTGCCCACGCCGCCGACTCCCTCCGCCTTGCCTGCGCCGCCGCCCTCTGGCTCTCCGTCGCCGCCTCTCTCCGGCTCGCCGTCGCCGCCTCCCTCGGGATCGGCGTCGCCGCCGCCGTCCACGCCGTCGCGTACCTCCGCCTTGCCTGCGCCGCCGCCCTCCGGCTCGCCTTACCCGCCCTGCCTCCGGGCTCGCCGTCGCCGCCGCCGCTCGAGACGCCGCCTTCCTCCGACT